TTGTTCTATATGTATCAAGACGCTAAGCAAAAGATAAAGGAATTATAGCCCTTCAAAGTTCGAAATCATGAAGTTAGCCGCCCCGATACTTCCAATTAGTTCAAATGGTGTTTTCATCTCTTTAATCGACGGAACTTTTTCTGAAATTGATAGAGAACTCTAAAACTCTTCGGAGGGCAATAAGAACTCTACTTATTTTTTCCAAATTTTGAAAAGTGAGGCCAACTTCACAGAGGTAAAGGCATTACACCTTTGTATAACAATCTCCGTGCCCACGATTGTACAATAATCATGTCTTTCTTACAATTATCATGTCTTAAATACGCTGTCGATGTACGACTTACCCATCTTTGCTAGTATCGACGATACCAGCAAGTAAATTGACAGAATCGGGATTATAATCGGCATCCGTGTAAAGGCCAAGATAACTGCGTACGAAGTCAGACGCAGTCATGAACCTCTCGCCATTCTTCTCCTGTGAGGCGTACTGCAATTTCACAAAAAAAAAAAAAAGCAAAATTTATATATATGTATGTATATACTATGCATATTTATGTATAAATTAGTGATCTTAACTCATGATAGTTAAAAAATAGCTAATTACGAATAATCGCAAAAAGTTAATTCTACAGTAGGTATTTTTAAGAAAAATCCAAAAAACAGAATATAATAAAAAAATTATATGACAATTTGAATTATAAAATAACAGTATAAAAATGTTGAAAATTTAAGCTGACATTTCAATAATTACAATTTATTAAAAATGATTAATTTTTGTTAACGAAATATATTTTTTACTAGAGAAATGGCGCATAAATTGATTGAGAGAAAAAAAAGAAATATTTGATAACTAATAAATAATGATAAAAATAATGATAAATATTTTAAATTATTAAAAATATTATTGTAAAAATAATATCGCTGATAGTTCAAATATAATCCTAATAATTTATATTCAAGCATTTTTCATTTATTTACCTGGTTAAAAATTTCATGGAGCCGTTCAGTATTTGCACGCTTTAAATACCCCGAGGAACCCTGTAACATGATTTACAAAGGATGAAAGATATTAATACTAATTGTTCTTTAACTTGTCGCTAAAAATATTTTTGAAATATATATACATACATATAAGATTGATAAGACTGATAAGAAAAAAAAATTGTTTTTTTAATCGGCCTCAGCTCAAAAGTTTCCATTTCATGCCAAAAGAACATCCCTAAATTTTTATCAAAAAATATTAAGATTTAGAGGTCGCTAGTGAACGATTTTTAAATCAAAGTTTCGATTTTCCTTAATACGTGTTTGATTTGATGCAAAAATAGCTTAATTTTAAATGTGGTACTGTATGTTTCTTTGGTCGCTGAACACGGTGGAATAATTCATTTAGCTTGACGATATACGCCTTAAGAAATACAGCCCGATTAATGTGGAGTATGAACAAACTTTGAGTTCAAGGTCGATTTCAGCATTGTTCCAAGCGTTCAAATGGATCGTTGCTCCCCTCAAATTGTAGGTCTGTTCATCCAGAACAAAATCCAGTTGTAATTTTCCCGAGACCTCCCTTAGGGCCATTAAAAGTTGCATTTAACTGGATTATAAAACGTTTTTAAGGATAGAAAAAATTTTTTTACAAGTTCTAAAATATATCGCTTTGTGATTTTGATATCCTCAAATCAAATGCTTCAATTTGACAATAAAAAACTCTTTATTAGAAAATGAAATGAATAATAAAAAATATATACTACATGATATGTAGTTTATTTCAATCAATTAAATCATTTTTTTTATTATGTACTCATTTCATTTTCTAATAAACAGTTTTTTTATCATCAAATTGAAGCATTTGATTTGAAGATGTCAAAATAACAAAGCGATATACTTTAGAACTTGTAAAAAAAATTTTCTATCCTTAAAAATATTTTATAATCCAGTTAAATACAACTTTTAAAGGGGGAATACAACTTTTTAAGGGGGCCTTATAGGACGTCCCGGGAAAATTCCAACTGCAAATAGGTACATGATACAAAAAAATATAATTTAATTAATTGAGAAATAAACTACATATTATATTTCAATTAATTAAATTATATTTATTCTGTATTATGTACTCATTTCATTTTCTAATAAAGAATTTTTTATTGTCAAATTGAGGCATTTGATTTGAGGCTGTCAAAACCACAAAGCGATATACTTTAGAACTTGTAAAAAAAATTTTCTATTCTTAAAAATATTTTATAATCCAGTTAAATGCAATTTTTAAAAACTCAGGAGTTCCCATGAAAATTCCAACTGAATCTTGTTTTGGGTGAGCAGACCTACAATTTAAGGGGAATGACGACTCATTTAAACGCTTGGAACCTTGCTAAAATCGAATTTGAACTCGAAATTTGTTCACATTAATCGGGCTGTATTTCTTAAGGCGTATATCGTAGAGTTAAATGAATTATTACATCGTGTTCAGCGAAAACATACAGTACCACATTTAAAATGCGGATTAAGCCATTTTTGCATCAAATCAAACATGTATTAAGGAAAATCGAAATTTTAATTTAAAAATCGTTTATTAGCGATCTCTAAATCTTAATATTTTTTGATAAAAATGTAGGAATGGTCTTTTGGCATGAAACGAAAGTTTTTTACGCTGAAGCCGATTAAAAAAAAATATTTTTTTTTCCATGTCAATCTAATACGTACAGAGCGGATCATTTTAATTTATTCAGTCAATTTTCTTAAAATCTGTTAGTTTAAGATAAAATGTTTCAAACAAAATGGCTTTTATGGTTTCAAGGGGGAAAGCAGTTGGTGATCTTAGTTGACCCTGAGAAGATGTCCTTAAGGGAACATCAAGTCCAGGTCAAGGATAACATTTAGAATTTTTTAAATGGAACTCCCTCCCTCATTTTTTACTAGATATTTTTGTAGCTGACGTTTTTGAAACACTGATTACAAACCCTTTTTAGTCGAGATCTTCCGGAATTATGATATTTCAAAATTTCAGTACCGCCGGCATTACTCAAGATATACCACATGGAGGTCGCATGGTCGGATTCTTAACCAAGCATTTCGAAGAGGTGTAAATCCGACCATGAGACCTCTATGCGGTATACCTTGAATCCAGAGACATAGTAGTGTTTCGGCGCTAAGAGAACGCGTAACCTTTACAGCGCGAGACACTATCGTATCTTTACGTGGACCGGTGAATTTTCTGAGTTCTCGATTATTACGTCTTAATAATGGCTATGCCGATCAAATTCTATGTATCTATATTCAATTAATAGCTTGTACTCGAATTGTATAATAAAGTGCCTTTATTTTTTTCTATGTGCTCTACGAGCGGAGATATTGCAACAAGTTCCAAATTTTGTTTAAAATTTTAAGAAACGTTTTTGTCATTGTGATTACTACTATTATTAACGTCGTCATCTGCCTGGCATATGGATTACATTTCGAACTTCAGTCGATAGATGACAATCTCAACTTTTTTACTTCTAATAACTTCTTAATAATCAACGAGCGACTGCCAAAATCCTTCAAAGGTCACTCCGGGTGACAATATACGTTAAGGTCAAGGTAATCGGAATTGAATTCCCTAATTTATTTTTAATATTTTAACGTACGACGATCGACTGCCGAAACCCTTCGAAGATCACTCAGAGTTATGACCTTGATAATATACTTCAAGGTCAAGGTCATTGAAGTTGAATTATCTATTTCACTTTTAATAACTTTTTAATGTGCGACGAGTGACTGCTAAAACCTTCTGAAGGTCACTCTGGGACATAACCTTGACAATACACAATATCAAGATCAAGGTCGTCGGAGTTGAATTCCATATCATCTATTTAATAATTTTGTACAGCGAGCGATAACTAAAATCTTGCGAAATTCATTCGGGGTGACTTTTACTACGTATTTCAAGGTCATCGGAGTTGGGTTTTCCGTTTTACTTTTAATAACACCTCTTAATGATCAACGAACGACTGCCATAATCCTTCGATGGTTACTCAGGGTTATGAACCTGACATATACGTCATGGTCAAGGTCATCGGAGCTGAATTGTCCGTTTTACTTTTAATAATAGTCCGGGAGGCAGCGAACATTTTTTTACGTCATTTGATTAAAGTTCAAATAGCCGAGAGGAACGTATTACACATATATACTCGTATTTGAAGACTTCTCACAAATTTAAAATAATGAAGATATTCGTGACATGCAAAAAAAATCACAGTCTTTTAATGCCATTAATAAATTGCTTAATTTGATAATTTGTATTTAATATCTCTGTTGCCACTGTGTGTATGTATTAATATATATAGGGTGTCTCACAACAATCGCATTTACTCTTAAGGATATATTCTTGAGATAATTTTAAGAAAATCCTAATATAAAAATGTCGCAAGGCTATATAACAATTTTTAAATTAATTGCAAATTAAATTCAATTTCAATTAATTGCAATTAAAATTCGCTAATCACAGAGCTGACGTTTCGCGCGCTCAGGTATGCTGATATGATAAGTGGTGAAGATACCACGAGGACCCCCTTAACATGCAATATTTTTCAGAAAGTTATTTCTATTTCTAAAACCTATTTATACATTTAAAATTTTTAATTATACGTGTGCATAATTAATATCGGAAATATATTGCAAAATATCAATTGAAGATATTACAATATGTATTAGCTATCAAAATAAATTCGTAACTATACCCAGAGGATACACATGTCGGAAAGACATCCAAAAGACGTCTTAAACTAGACGTCTTGAGGACTTTTCCAAAAGTCACCTTTCAGACGTCTTTCCGACTTTATCAAAAATGCGTCTTTTGCAGATAGTCTGAAAGACGTCTTGAAGACATCTGAAAAGAGACGTCTTGAGGACTTTTCCAAAAGTCAGACGTCTTTCTGACGTTTTAATTTACATTATCGACTGCAAATTTTATTTATAATATCGAGTGCATGACATGGTCAATCTGAATATTTCTGAATATAATACGTAACTTATAAAAAGTATTGGATGTCAATTAATTTGGCATTTCAATTTTGTTGCATTATATTATAATTGTAGTGTTCTACAACTACACAATTATGCGATTTGTCAACGCGTTTCCATATCAGTAATCTTTATTTTTATTTTTTAGACAAATGTCTGAAGCGAGTCTTAAGGATAATGCCTGTAAGACGTCATAAGGGCAATGTCTGTAAGACATCTTAAGAATAATGTCTTTAAGACGTCATAAATCGACGCATAAGACATCTTAAAGACATCATATAAACGTCATTCTGATACTTTCAAAAAATGTCTCATGAATTTTAGGATGTCTTTATGATGTCTTATAAGATGTCTCAGTGTTCTCTGGGTATGTGTATTCATTTGTCTCGCATGGTAAACATTTTTGTGGTAATATCGATAAACTATTTTTAACGTGAAATTAATGACATGTATTGTTATTAAATTGCTTATTAATTTAATTTGTAATATATTCCAGTTTTAGTTTAAGATTGCGTTTCAAGTCCAACAGTAATTATCGGCGCGTAGTTTATATAGAGCTGGAAATTGTATTTTTTAAATTCACATAGAAATATTATTAGGCACCAAAAGATCCATGTATTTTGATGTAATCTATATCAATTTTCGTATTTCTAATTTTATTAAAAGTTATACTACAATAATTATTATGAAATATGTATATCGTAATTTGATATAAGTTTATTACTGCTAAATAGTTAATAATACTTAATTATTTAAACTTAAAAAAACTACTATTTGTACAGGGGAAAAAGATTTTATTTAAGTAATATGTATAAATTCAGAACAAGTAACTATAACAAGTGTTCAAATTGCACACCATCCATCGCAATACATAATCTTGCTCGCCGAAGCAAATTTTGTCCAACATTGTGTATCATTCTGGCGTTATAACCGCCAAAGCTTCTATAATTGTATCATTTAATTGTCTACGGTTTTGTATAGGCTGGCGATAAATATAATTATAAATAATAAATATAATTATGCGAAATGTCAGCTCTATGATTAGCGAACTTTAATTGCGATTAATTTAAAAACTATTATAGCCTCGACATTTTTGTATTAGGATTTTCGTCTTAAAATTATCTCAAGAATACATCCTTAAGAAGAAATTAAATTTTTTTGCCAGATTACAACGGAGACATTTCAGACGACTAAGATACCTGGGAAAAAAAGAACTAGATCTGCCGAGATATGACCATATCTGTTTCATTTAGTCAGGGTTGCCACAAATTTTTCGTCTCAAAATTTCCCTGATTTCCAGACAAAATTTTCTGATTTTCCCTGACTTTCAATAATACATATTTTGAATTTTCATCCTGATTTGAAAATCGTTAAATATTTTGTTGATAGAGCACCAAGATCCATTTAACGGTGTAAATTACTATTAATGTTGCTGACGCTGCATTTAATTGTTAAGTTAGTAATATTTTTTGTCTTTTCCTTTCATGTATGAACACGATTCTCTTCCTCTTCCGCCCTTTCTCTTTGTTGCTATTTATATTAATAAACAGCAGCAAGAGAAAGAGAAGAGAATATAAGGAACATAAAATCAATGAATACAGTTTCTTTTTTATCAAAACTAAATCCTGTTTATTAAAATCTCAATCTGCTATTATAAAGGCTACTTTTTCCCTCACCACACGTTATCAAGTGGTAGTGCAAGTCGTGGGAGCACATGAGGGCGCGCTAAAATTGCGTGGCTGTGATGTACACATATTTTAAACTTCTTTACAGCCATTTTATTTTTCCAGAAAATTTTGCTAAATCCCTGACTTGTCCATGACTTCTCTGACCATTTTCAAATTCCCTGACTTTTCCATGACTTCCCTGATTTCCCTGACTTGTGACATCCCTGTAGATCTGCAAATTGGTCTTTATTTGGCCAGATCGGGACATGTCGGAATGAATTCCGATCGGAATTATTCCGCTTTTCCCAGAAAACTCAATAGAAATCTAGGGAATAATTGAATAATTCCGATCGGATTCCATTCCGACTTTTTCCATGATAGGTACCCTTAATAGATAAAACCAGCTGTGATCCCGGTAAATTTTTCATATAATGTTAATTAATTCAATTTTATTGCTAAAAAAAGTATGCGTGCGTGCGTGCGTGCGTGCGTGCGTGTGGGTGAGATTAGCATATTCCATAAAGTCCATTCTACATTAGACGCAAGCC